TTTTTAATATCTATTATATATTTAATAATTACTTAAACTATTTTCATATCCGCTTTTTATTAATCTGCTAATCCGTCTTTATATAGCTGCCCTACTGCTATATAAGGGTTATACCCTTTTAGTATTTATAAAATATTATTAAATTTATTTTTTAATGCTTTTACTAATTTGCTTTTTTAAATATTATATTTAGAGCATAGCAATATAAAATATTAGACTGTCTCCTCTCCCTATCTGCATTTATATTAGCTTAAGTTTATAATATTAATTATTGCTAGGAATTTATTTAAATAAGTATGCCTTATTTAGAGCTATAAAAGGATAAAAGCCTCTTTCTTATTTATTATATTATAAAGCAACATTATGTATTTACCTAGAATAGCGCTATCCATTATGTAAAGGCTTTTATCCGCCTTTTAGGGTTTTTGTTGTTCTTTAGCTAAGATTTTGTTTTAAAAGGTATTCTAGACTTATATTACATTATCTAGAATTATTTCGCTTATGTCCAACTTTATATAACAGCTTATTACCTGCTTAGCTAGTTAGTTAGCCTCTATATGTTCTATAACTACAAATTTCTTTAGAATCCATTAAATAGCTAAATGTTCCTTAAGGGTTGCGTATTTTCTTATTATATATAGTATATTTTATACTATAGCTGCTCCGCTTTAGCTTATTTAGTAATTAATTATGTAAATAGCTTTTTAGCTATCTGATTATATTGCTATTTAGGGGATTAGCTTCCTTTAACTTATCAATGTTTCTAATATAATCCCTGCTAGGGTTACTGCTTATTTAATAGCCACTAGCTCTATTATTATATTGTTAATGCTGCCTTCTAATTTAATTCTTTGAAAATAGGTAAATAGTAATATTGACTTCTTAGAGTATACTGCTACTCTAACTCCTGCTTAGCTATTAGTCACTGAGCTATTACCAAAGATATTTATATGCTAGTCTTTTATTTTAATATACTCCCTATATGCCTTATCTAAATTATACTAATTAGGTTCGCTATTGACTATAGTCACTTTCTATAATAGAGCTATCTATGCTAGAATGATTTCCATTCCTATCCCTGTCTTTCCTAACTATATTTCTATATTGTAAAAAAAAGAGGTAAATAACTTTACTTTAGGCTTTTTAGCCAGTTTTCTAAGCTGTCTCTTTAATAGGTTAGTTTCTAATAGTATATAGAGTCCTATTTAAAATTTGCTAATTTTCAGTTTTAGTTAGACATATAGGAAATAGAGTAAGGCTTTAGCGCTGGATGCTTTAACTAAGTTTATGTAGAAGCATTTGACAACTACTTAGGCTCCTATCCTTTATATAGAATTGAGAATCTTTATTATGCTGTTATCAATCTTTCCTCTTAAGGACTTGGAGTACTATGCTATAACTATATAGTCTATTCTAAAAGCTATTATAGCTTAATATAGCTATTTTGCTAACTATAGGCTAATATAGGAGAAGCGTTTAAGTTAGCTAGCATTTCTCTACCCCCTTATTTTCACTTTAGCTAAGTGATTCTTAAACCTTAGCTTAGTATTGAAAATAACTTCTAGGATTCTTTCTTTTATAAAAGGTTTAACAACGTGGTTGCCTACCCTTAATAAAGAATTAGAATTACTAATCTTTTTATAATTTTGTATAAAGTGTATAAGGATTGTCTTATTGCTTTTAAATATAGCGCCACTATTTTTTGCTTATTAAAAGGCTTTTAAGATAACTTTATTATTAAGTATTAATATGTTTCTTTCTACTAATTCTAAAATAGCCTATTAGGTATAGTTATTTATAAACCCTATATTACCTTATTTCCTATTAATCTTTTCCTTTATTAGAAACGCATTGAAGAAGATATATAGAATTAGGGCAAGTGTTGATTTTTATAAAAGGCCGGATTCTGCAAATATGACTTTGCTTAATTTTATATTATTAACTAATACTATTATTAATTAATCCATATAGAAGGAGTTAACCTATACTACTACGCAGGTTAGAATCCCTTCTATATATAGCCAATTAGTAAGCATCTGCCTAAGAACGCTATTATATGCTCCCTTTATATTAAAACCAATAAAGGATTTTCTTTTACTACTATATTTTAAAGATTTTCTCAATTAAGAAAAGCAGCGCTTAGTTGTATAAGCGTCTTAGCTTAGCGCTAAATTATGTTTTTAAAAGGAGATTAAACGTCTTAGCTTAATATAATATTTTTCTTACTAATATAAGTTCTATTAGTTTGCTCAGAGTAGCTAAAAGGGAGATAAGGCAATATACTTTTATTATATAGTAATCCAGTTTTCCTAGCTTTTATAATAGTAAGATTTATATTGTCTTCTATATAATTAGTATATATTTTAATTAGTACAATATATTGAAAATATTAGTGACTTAATTATTAAAAATAGACTATAAGCGTTTTTATACAATATTTAAAATATTATTTATATTTAGTGCTTTATATAAGCTGATTTTGGCTATTACTCTAGTTACTTCTTTAATAAATATATCCAGGTTCTTTATATATCTTATATTAAGATTCAGTACGTCCTTTTTCTATTTTTTAGGGATTAGTAGGAAAAAGCATTAAAGTAGCTTATTTGCTTTAGCCTTATCTTCTTTAAGCTCCATTTCCTAATCTTCAATATTAGTAACTATAATAAGGATATTGCTAAATGTTGATAATTATAGGTTAAAGTATTAAGCTGCTTTCTAGATATTGTCAGTCTATATTAGGAATTTATTCTAATGTAGTTATTTTTTATTGCAGATGCCTTTATAGAACTAGTATTTAGCTTACCTAGCTTTATAGTAGCTTTCTTTGCTATCTAGTTCTATAGTTTATAGCGTAGTGCTCTAGTTTAGGCATTAAGTATATTTATTATGTAGCTCTATAAGTTTGTTATCCTATTATGCTTTCATATATAGGGATTTCTTAACTGCAGAGCTATAATTATAAATATATTGGCTTACAATGTTCTAAATCTCTATAACTACCTAATTAAGCTTAGTAATATTATTAATATTAATAATTAACAGTCTCTATCCTTTAAGCGCCTTAATAGCTATATCCTAATTTGTTTTTCTAAAGTTGTATTTAGATCCTTATAAAGCAGTTGTTTTAGCTTTATTAATTTAATAGACTGGTTGTTAATAAGGCTAAGCTGGACTAGGAATTATCTATTCACATTTATTAAAAGGAAGCAGGTATTCCTTATTATATATTGCTTATAATGATTTCCTATCTAGTATATTGGCTTATAACTGTTTGCTAATCCTCTTTCTTTATTTTAATAAGCTAGTTAAAGGGTTTATTTCCGCTTTAGATTTTACTAATCTCCTTTCAGTATGCTATGTATTTAAAGTCTATTATAATATATAGTTCTCTATATACTATACATTTTAATATTATAGCTATACAGTTATTAGTTTTATAATTATTTATATATTTTCTATATTTTAAGGGTTAGCTGCATTTAGCTTAATAATAGCTATATTTATTATAGTTATAGTATCTCTAAGGGCATTGGATTTTATAATATTAACTAATTATAGCTATACTGCCATTAACTTGAACTATACGTTCCTTAAGCGCTTTTTAAGTGTCCTCTACTGTATTAAGATACACTATTATAGATTTTATAGGTTTCTCCCTTTTAAAAAGCTAAAACGCCTTAATAGCTTTAGCAAACCTGTTTTCAATATTGAATTTAGCTACTAGTTCTAGTTTAATTTTATAGGTATCTAATATTAGGACTGCTATTTTATATATATTATCAACTTTAATTAGGAAAAGTTCCTTTTTACAAATTCAGGTTATTTTAAATATTTAATAAACCTATATTTTATTTATTTATAATTATATTATATTTTTTCTATTTTAAATAATAATCTTTATATCCCTTATCTTAAATTAGATTTCTTTAATAATAATGTTATTTATAGATTATTAAGCTATAATAGCTTCTTAGATTTTATTCCTAGTTGCTTTATAGTTATTTATTACTTTATACTATTTGGCTATTATTTGGCTTAGGTTTATTATAACATTTAGAAATTAGTATAATTTTTTAGAAAAGGTAGGTAATATTATTATTATAGTGTTGCTATATTAAAGCTATATAGCTAATAATAATAGATTAATTAAGCCTAATACTGCTAAAATATAGAAAATTAATAAAGAAGCTACTATATTAAAGTTAGCTAAGGATATCAAGCTTGCCTATTTAAAAGTTAAAAGGACTATCTTCTTTTTGTTAATACTGGACCTAATAGATTAGACTTTAATATCTAAGGCTTTAATATTAGCATTAATATTTTTAATATTTACGCTTATATTATTAAGCTTTTTCTTAAGCTTCTTGTTTTTTTTTATAATAATATTAAATATTATTATTATTGCAATATTCTTTTAGTAAAAGGCTTCTATCTAATTTTGGAGTTGCTTATTCTGAGTCTGGAATAGTCCATTCTAATCTTAGAGTTGTTTATTCTATATATAGAATAATTTATTTTACTCCTAGAGTTGCTTAAGCAGTTTGTTAAGCTTGTCATTCTAGGCGTTTACTATTCTTTTAATAAGATATTTCATTATGTCTTTTATAAAGACAGTATTGTTACTAAGCTGGAATGAACAAATAGGTTGGATTAGCCCTCTGCTCTGTTTAGTGTTTCTAGCTTTTCTCTATATTGCTATAGCAGTATTGGGTCCCTTTAGGGACAACGCTAGTATGACTATCACAACAGCGTTGTTAATCAGGTCCGGCAGCACCCTTTCCCTTGTCTAAAATTGACGGGAGTTGGATAGTCCGACTCGTCGAGTCGGCTTGTAAATGAAACTGTTAATAAAATGATGAATATCGATAAAAATATCGATGTCGTTTTTCTTGAAAGATAGGCATCGATAGGCAAGCTATGAAGCCTTAGTCAGCCACAGCTAAACTCATCATCGGAAAAATATATATTGTATCTTTTAAGTTCGTTTATCATCTATTGGCGCTTTGGCCGAGCGGTCTAAGGCGAGAGACTAGAAAGCGATTAATCAGCTTCTGACATCTCTTATCTTCGGATGCGCAGGTTCAAATCCTGCAGGCGTCGACATATTTTGTATTTTGCTCGTAGCGTTGGGACTACACGTCTGATCGCGCAAGGTCTCATTCAGAGGGCATCATTCATCTGGAGTCTCTATTTTGGAGGGGTCAGTCGCAACCAACGTGTGATGGCTCTCACATGTGTCGTTCACTATAGTGTTCATCCAATGTATGCTTGGACGTAATGTCGAGGAAACAATATAGAAGTTCAAGACCAGGGAATCATTATGGTCAAAACAGATAACGATCTAGCTTCTGCTGTTCTATGCATCTCCTCGTAACTCTACTCAATTGTGTTTTCAACTCGTGTTGGGCGTCGATGATAGACGACTTTCTGGGCGAAAGGTTCCATAAATTTTCCGTTTTCTCCTTCACTGCCTCAGGATTTGCCTTTTACCATGCATAATCTTTCCGTATTTAGCCTTTGATTATAAGTTGTCCCACTGCCTGATGCCTCGAGATGGTTCCGCCAGAGTCGCTCAGAGCAATCTATGTGGACCAATGACGGGTTGGTTCAACCTGGAATATCGTTTGAGCGAGAATCGGGATGGCAAAATTGGATCAATGCTAGTACCTTCAATGCGGGGTCGATCCGCCATTATGTCTCAATGGTTGGTACATCCACTCCGCCGCGTGGTATTGCATCATGTGGGCTTCCAGGTGGTTCGTGGTTGTAAAGGTCCGAGTGCAGTACCCGCATTGATATGGTCCGGCTTGGACGAAGACTTTGGGGGTGGGAAGGTTACTGTTGGGGCACATATTGTGGATACTGGTTCAAGTATTCGGAAAGAGATGATGTTTGTTTGTTGTATGATGTGGTTGCTTGAAACTAGGAGGATGTGATGACTCGACTCTGGTGTTCAGAACACGAAGTCGGGATGAGCGGAGCATGGGATACTCATAGAAGGCTGAGAATCACATTCGTGATTTACTGAGTAAACCGTGATCGAGACATGTCCGAGCTAAGACAGAATAAAATTAGTGAATGGCCCGATTGTCTCTGTGCTCTGTATCTCTGAGACACAAAAGATGCATGATACTACTACCAAGCTTACACAGTGACGTGAGTCCAGCTGCAGCATAGTCTCGACTGAGTACGCAAGGCTCTAGATGTCAGTATCAGGTGCTGACGGTAAGTTCGGCCAGATGGGCTGAGGCTCCTCTGACAAGTCGCCAGGTGAGCAGCAAGGCTCGTTGTGCAGTAGTCCTTCATCAGCTTTCCTGGCATCCGGCGCGCAAGATACAAAGATACAGCGCACGGCAGAGAAAAGCATGATTGATAGAAGCAGGAGATGGCAACCCCGGCATAAAAGACGTTCATGTCATCTAATCCGTTGTACGTGCGTGCATGCACTTGGCATTTTGTAACATGTCCGATCCTATTGCCAACGAACCACATCCTACTGAATCTGTTCCACATCCTTGTCCCTGTTTCCGCCTTCTTTGACCCAGTCGGCAAATTCTCGTCTGGCCTTTCTGATATCCAAGAAACTTTGTCGCTCCTCCAGCGCCTTGTAGGGGTTTCCCCTAGGGCCCAACTCATCAGACCTTTGGCTTAACTTTTCCCGTTCAAGTTTGCCGGCCCACACGCGCCACTGAATTGGTTTCAGGTCTGGAGAGCCGAGGACGACGCCGGTGCAGAGCAGTAGTACTGAGATGAGGGTTTCAATCGTGATGTCCAGAGGCAAGTCGACCTTTGGATGCAGCATTGCAAGAGAGCTCTTGGGAGCATTCGAGGGGCTGAGGGCATGAGTGGGGAGTGCTGAGGTGAGGAGAGAGTGTTCGTGGGCGCTGTAGACACTGTTTGGCTGTTCAGCTTGAGTCTTTCGCAATTAGTGGCGGAAGCATACATACGCGTGTGCAAGCAGCACAACACCGAGGATATTTAGAAGGGTAGATATGAGCCCCATTATCGCGGTGCGATAGATAGATTTGTGTTCAGCTCTAGAAACGTGATGTGGCTACTCGTGGTAGTGTGTAGTAAAGGCTGTAAAGCTTGAGATGAGCTTCTAAGCATCGAGGCTTGTGGCTCGTGCGCGACAGTTCGTTGGACGCGAACAGGGGACCCCGGACTTGGTGGGTGTGGTCATACGAGTACATAATTCGTAAAGTGAAACACATGTGATGACTCGACTTCCAGTGTACAGTACTACAAAGCTCAAGTCTAAAGTGGTTGTTGGCACACCAAGTGGTAACGTCCTAGTGCTCTTATACCAACCACTTGGAAGACCGTCCTAATGCTCTTATGCCAAAGACGAAGAATCGTACAGCTGGGCGACCCTGTCCTCTTTCTCCAACCTTCCCCCTATCATTCCAACTTACGGTGTGACAGTGTGACATCTAACTTTTATTAGCAAGTCTCACGGTATGCAGAGCAGTCCAATCTGGTGATTCAAGTAGGCTTTACGACAACCGCTAGTGCAGTATCATCCGTTATGGCCAGGTTAGTCCTTGTGCTCACAAAGTCCGACGTGCCTAGTCTGGTACATCTGCTATGTAACATCAAGCATTGGTACACGTGGTATTGTGGTTTAATATAATATGGTGGATCATGGACATGGATCCATTGATGAACAGTCGTCACTCAGTCGTCGTCTATGTCATAAAAGACCAACTGACCTCCTTCCCCTCACCGTGATCTGTCTACCCACGCGGAACAACTTTGTCGTGCACCATGTCTCTTCCTACTGACGAACAACGATCGTATCATGATACAGACTCTCCCTACCCTGCCCCTAACGAGCAAGTATACTCCAGATGCCAGTCTGCAGCTAGCGTAGTGATTGACAATCCCAAAGCTCCATAGAACATGACCGACTGAATGCACAACACGAAGGCCTCAAAGCCCTCATGGGCGACAAGGTCGTGCACACCTCATTGCTGCCACGCCCCGGCTCTCGTTTCCTAGACATTGGATGCGGGACCGGTGTCGTGACCCTAGATCTGGCAAGAATGCACCCCGAAGCCGAGGTTATGGGCGTGGACTTCTCCCCTGTCCCTGTTGCAGCCTCCTCGAAGCCTGCAAACGTCGACTTCATCCAAGCAAATGTTTTGAAGTTGCCTCCGGACTTGGAGCACCGCTTTCAGCCAGGAAGCTTTGACTTCATATTCCATCGCTTGCTATTTGGTGGTATGAACACTTGGCCAGAATACATGGCACGTGTGACTAGATTATTGAAGCCTGGTGGGACCGTGGAGATGCAGGATCTCGACTTTGAATACATAAGTGCCGAAGAGGGCAAGGAAGGGGATGTCATTAGCAAACAATGGAAATGGTTCCAGGCCTTTGAACAGGCTGGAAAAGAGATGGGTCTGAATCTTCGTGCCGGACGACAGATTGCGGGATGGATGAAAGAGGCAGGCCTAGTCAACGTGAGCAGGGAGGAATATGTCGTCCCCCTCAGCCCATGGATGACCAAGACCAACCCCCAATCGGAGAAATTTGGCAAATACTGGGACAGCGTGGAGGAGAATCTGGTGAGGGGGTTGCTTGAGAGACTGTTCGCAGAGAGAGCGACCAAACAAGAGCTTGCCGATCTATTGGAGGATGCTTCGACCACACTGAAGAATAAGGGCAACTGTTTCTTTGTCATGTATGTCACCACGGGTCACAAAGCCGAGCAAACAGAATAGCTAGGAGGGGGCCATAATAAGATGGTAGTTCAAAATGGAAATACTGCCAGGATCGGTCCCAATAGAAACACCGCGCAGACGATGACCGAATTTGCGAATGAACCTACAAGTGCTTGACAAGTTCGGTAACTAAAAACAAGCGCTGTAGACCATTGTCGGCCTACAACCAATTCCCGACCTCTTCTCCAGATAATAACATGCAGGGCTCAAGCTCCAGATGCATTTGCTGGGAATCGAGCATGACGAATATGCATAGCAGACTGGATCGACAGACTCTGTACTTCCGAAGTGCAGTTGAGAGAAACTTTGCTACAAAGGTACACAAGCTGCTGACTATCCTATCTGGACCAATGGTGCATTGGAAAGGGCTCAATGGAAGAGTATGCGGCTGTCGAAGGCCGGACGGCAATTGATCCGGATGAATCTTCTTATTACCATGAATCTTCCTACCCCGGCTGGGGAAAATTGGGGGAGCTCGCGTGGGTATATTCGAGAACAATGGCGGTATATTTGATATGAGGTAGCCATACGTCACAGAGTCAGTTGCCGACACACGGACCGCCGATCGTTTGGCCCTGAATGTTTGCTGCTTGGAAATGAAAGCCGGGCGAGCATCACGGATACCGACCCGACTCGACAATGCGCGCGGATGAGGTTGACAGTCACCCAAATGTCCTCCCAGTCTCTCCCTCGGACGTGCGAAATTGCTCTCTCCCTTCTCCGAGCTTTCCTAATTCCTAAGTATCCCTATAAACAAGGTAGAAAATGGGCCATCTCTCCTTCAGTTGAATCGCTAGAGCACTTTCCTCAATTCGTTTGCACGTTAGAAACCAGTCATACATCATCATCGCGCTCTCGAAAGTCGAAACCTTTTAGTTTCAGCAAGCATGCTTTCTTACAATCCTCCACCCACCATGCCTGATCCTCTCTCTCGTTCTACCGCAGGGCCAATGCCTACCGCACATGCGCCCTCTACCAATGGAGCAGTCACTGCATCCACCAACAGCGTAGCTGCAGCAATGTCCGAGCACAGACACATTTTTATCGTTACCGGCCCAGCTGGATGCGGAAAGACGACCGTGGCCGAATATCTGTCCAAGTCACTGAATCTGCCTTATCTAGAAGGCGATGCTGTAAGTACTCCCCCTCTGGCCACAACTTTCCTGCACACTGCACTCATCTCAAGCACCCTCACGTGCCCATTTGACTTGACTGCGCGAAATACAATTACTGACAAGCACCAACAGTTCCACCCCAAGGCCAACATTGATAAGATGGCCGCCAACATTCCCCTCACAGACGCCGACAGATGGGACTGGCTTATTCTGCTCCGCGACCAATCTATTTCCACCCTGGCCTCCGGCGCCTCCGGTG